CAGCCGCATCCCTCCGCCCCCGGCGCGTCCCTCCCCGCCGCAGCGCAGCAGCATGGGGCTCTGCAGAGCAGCCGCGCGGGCGCCGGCAGCCACCGCTGTCCCCGCCAGCGCGTCGCCTGGACGGGACTCTGACGGCTCCGCGGAGCGCGGGGACAAAAGGCCTTCGCTGTGCGGCCGGGCGGCGACACGGAGCTGCATCCACCGCGTGCGGAGCAGGGCTCGGGCGGTGCCATGGGGCTGTGCCGGGGGACAAGGGCCCCCGGGGGCTCTGCTTTGCTCCTGCTGCTGGCCCTGGGATGTGTCTGGATGCCCACGGGCGCCCGGCGGCCCCCTCGGCCGCCCCCCTGTCCCCCGAGCTGCTCCTGCACCCGTGACACAGCCTTTTGCGTGGACTCCAAGGCCATCCCCAGGAACCTGCCCCCCGAGGTCATCTCGCTGTGAGTACCCGGTGTGACAGGGACAGGGATGGGGACAGGAGGTCCGCATGGGGCCGGGGGGAAGCCGGCAGTTCCCTTCCTCTGCAGCCATCCATCAGCGGTGGATGGAGCCCTGCCCTGCTGCGCCACCGTGACCTTGGCCACCGGCACCCCAAGGGGACAGGGCTGGCAGGCAGCACCGCCCTGGGGACGCGGTGGCACAGGGGAGGCACCGTGTGTATGTGTGCACATGCACGTGTGTGTGCAAGTGTGCATGCAGTGTGTGCCATGCAAGCATGCATGCAGTGTGTGCAATGTGCAAGCACACATGCAGTGTGTGCCATGTGCAAGCGTGCATGCAATGTGTGCCATACAAGCATGCATGCAGTGTGTGTGCAAGTGCGCATGCAGTATGCACAGCTACATGTGTGTGCATGCAGTGTGCACAGCTGTATGCGTGTGCATGCAGCTGTGTGCATGCAGTGTGTGCAGCTTTGTGCAAGTGCGCATGCAGTGTGCACAGCTGTATGCGTGTGCATGCAGCTGTGTGCATGCAGTGTGTGCAGCTTTGTGCAAGTGCGCATGCAGTGTGCACAGCTGTATGTGTGTGCATGCAGTGTGTGCAGCATTGTGCATGTGTGCATGCAGTGTGTGCAGCCACATGCATGTGCAAACATGCATGCAGTGTGTGCAAGCGTGCATGCAGTGTGTGCACACGCTGCAGACGTGCAGCAGCCAGGAGCGGGCGCTGCCGTGCGGCCAGGCGGGCACTGGCCTCCGACCACTGCGTGCCCTGGTGACACTGGCAGCCGGGGGCCTTGGTGACACTGCTGCAGCTCCCAGATCCACACAGACCCTGTGCCAGCCCCTGCGCAACTCCGAGCGCCCCGTGCCCGCGGTGCCAGCTGGAGGCAGGCGGTGGGGCTGGCTCAGCAGCTTCGTGTTGCCCGCAGGACCATGGTGAACGCGGCGTTCTCGGAGATCCGCGAGGCCGCCTTCGCCCACATCCCGTCGCTGCAGTTCCTGTAGGTGGGCGCGCGGCCGCGGCGCCGGGCTCCGCGGTGCCCCCCGGCTCCGCTCTCACCGCTCCCGCTTCCCTCGCAGGCTGCTCAACTCCAACAAGCTGGCGCTCATCGGCGACGGCGCCTTCG